CTTTACACTACAGTTTTTAAACTGCAACATTAACACCCCTCCTTCAGGTAGGTAGTAGGTTGGTAGACAGCAACCACCCAGGGAAGTACTACCGTCCTGCCAGATGACTGTGAAACAGAAACCTGTAACTGTTTTGCATGATGGTAGGATTGCTGGTTTCTTTTTCTGTCTCATAAACATGCTAGATAACAGGGATATCTTGCTACTCCTACTTACACTTTGGTCACACTTCACAGACACGCACATGCATATATATACAGTGGACCCCCGGTTAACGATATTTTTTCACTCCAGAAGTATGTTCAGGTGCCAGTACTGACCGAATTTGTTCCCATAAGAAATATTGTGAAGTAGATTAGTCCATTTCAGACCCCCAAACATACACGTACAAACGCACTTACATAAATACACTTACATAATTGGTCGCATTCGGAGGTAATCGTTATGCGGGGGTCCACTGTATATACATACATCTAGGTTTTTCTCCTTTTTCTAAATAGCTCTTGTTCTTCTTTATTTCTTCTATTGTCCATGGGGAAGTGGAAAAGAATCTTTCCTCCGTAAGCCATGCGTGTCATATGAGGCGACTAAAATGCCAGGAGCAATGGGCTAGTAACCCCTTCTCCTGTAGACACTTACTAAAAAAGAGAAGAAGAAAAAATTTTTGGATATTTTATTTAATTAAAAAAGTATACAGTACATAAATGAGCTGATACTGTACAAAGTTATCATTTTATAGAAAGTTAATTACTCTTTCATTCTAAAATAATATTTAGAATTTTATTTTCTCTAGACAGACAGACCTGCCAGTTTTACAACTTTTTATTTAAAGGAAAAAAAATCCCAAACTTTGTCAGCTCAAATGGTCCTAATGTAATTCTAGATTTAAATTTATATTATCCCTTTCAGGGTCCAAGGCCATAATCTGAAGGGGTGCCCCCAGTATCCAAGAAATTTTGAGAAAAAAAAAAAAAAAAAATGCATTTTTTATACTTCTTTCTTTTCTTTTCTAATTTTTTTTCTAGTAACATTTGTGGCCTGTGAGACCAATATAATGTATACAGTGGACCCCCGCTTTACGATCACCTCCCAATGCGACCAATTATGTAAGTATATTTATGTAAGTGCGTTTGTACGTGTATGTTTGGGGATCTGAAATGGACTAATCTAATTCACAATATTCCTCATGGGAACAAATTCTGTCAGTACTGGCACCTGAACATACTTCTGGAATGAAAAAATATCATAAACCAGGGGTCCACTGTATTGTATAAGTGTACATTCATTGTATTCAACACAATAACTGCACTAATTTATCATTATATTGCTTACAAAACTTGTTTACAAGTTTATTGTAAGCAAAATTATGAAAATATTAGTGCGGTTATTGTGTTGAATACAACGGTACCATATGGTACAATGGTGCCATAGAGTGCAATGATACCATGGCACCATATGATACAATGGTACCATATGGTACAATGACACCATTTGGTACAAGGTATCATATGATACCATGGTACCATATGGTGCAATGGTACCTTATGGTACACTGTACCATATGGTACATTGTACCATATGGTACAATGATACCATATGGTTCATTGTACCATATGGTACTGTTGTATTCAACACAATAAACACACTAATATTTTCATTATTATTTCATTTACAACAATTGTTTGCAACAAAAATATGCAAAAATGTTGTATATCAGTAATGTTCTATTATATATTTACAAATGTACAGCCACTCGACATGTTCCTTGAGGTGGATGACAAGCGCTTTGTCTTGGAAACTGCTGAGTCAGTGACTTGTGTCGCCACTTACTCAGTCTTGGCTGGTGCCTTGTGGCATCAACATCTCCAACTGACCATATGGTACATGGTATCATATGTTACAGCATACCATATGGTACATTGTACCATATGGTATAGGGTACCATCTGGTACAGGACACCATATGGTACAGATACAGGGATCCCTATGGAAATAAGTCACCCTGACTTTTCTGGGTTATCCTAGGATTTTATACATATGCTGCTATGTATGATAATCTATGTAACTGTATTTGTGTACACCTGAATAAACTTACTCAAGTACACGTGGCATCATAAGTTTATTTAGGTATACACAAATAAAGTTACATAGATTATGATACATAGCAGCATATGCTTGGAGAACCTAGGATAACCAAAAAGTCAGACAGACTTATTTCCATTAGGGTCCCTGTACCCTGTACCATATGGTACAATGTACCATATGGTATAATGTACCATATGGTACAATGTACTATATGGTACATTGTACCATATGGTACCATTGTACCATATGATACCATTGTATGACATGGCACCATTGTACCACATGGTACAATTTTACCATATGGTACAATGGTACCATATGGTTCAAAACCATAGAATTCCTCTTCAGATCCACTTCCATCAGTCTTAGAACTGCAAGTTGTGAAGAGGAGAGTCAGAATTCGCCAGGAGAGTGAGTAGGGAGTGAGAGCTTCCTTGCTGCCAGGCATGATGAACAAAGCTACTTTGGCGGCATTCCCACAATGCCATGCAGGTGTCCAGATTTTTTCTATAGTGCATACACTGACCACCCAGACCCATTCTCTCAGATGTAGGCCTACCAGCCTTCTTGCGCTAAATTTGACACCGCTAGAATTTTGGTGTAGATCTACGGTTTGGACCCTCAACATAAAGCCGTAGATCTACGGCACAGACCCTGAAAGGGTTAATTAAGCAGTGCTGTGTTTGTCTGATCTACAAGTCAACATATACTAAATGTATAATGATTTATTGAAAGTGGTAACAGCAAAAGCAGAGTCAGAAGGGAGATCTTTCCACTGATGACCGTTCAAGAACTGGAGATTGAAGGTAGTTAATGTCAATTAGTCGACAAACTAGGAATGTGAAACATATGTAACAGAGTTAGCTATTATATTAGGCAGTACTTCACCTTAAACATAGCTTTATCAACATAAAACCAATTTAAGAAAGAAATGCTGTCTAATATAAAGCTTTGCTCTGCTATACGTGTTTCACATTTCATCACTGAAAATGCCAAAAGAAACACAGAGTGAAGGCTTGCTCAACATAATGGCTGTGTAATAAAGTTGGTAGAATTACCGACAATATGTAAAGTAAAAGGACACAAGTGCAACTAATGTGACATTTATTGTGGCAATGTTTCGCTCTCCAGGTAATGGCTTGATAAAGCTCCTGGAGAGCGAAACGTTGCCACAATAAGTGTCACATTAGTTGCACTTGTGTCCTTTTACTTTACATAATGGCTGTGGAATAGAAAAATTAAACAATACACTATTCAAGGACAAAACTTAAGAAACAGAGACATGCAAGATACTACTTTACATTGTCATACTGAATATGAAGAGGAAAACTATATTTTTCAATTTGACATACAGTATATCAATGGAATAGCCAAATGTAAGAAATAGTGACATAACATTTTTTTTCTGTCAACAAACCGGCCATATCCCACTGAGGCAGGGTGACCTACAAAGAAAAATTAAAGTTTTTCTTTTTCAATTTAGTAATTTATACAGTATAAAGGGCAACTAGCTCCTTGCTCCTAGCATTTTAGTCGTCTCTCTCTTACAACACGCATGGCTTAGAGGAAGAATTCTTTTCCATTTCCCCATGGAGGTAAGAGGAAATAAAAAAGAACAAAAACTATTAAGAAAAAAAGAAGAAAACCCAGATGGGTGTGTAGAAGTAGCAAGATATACCTGTTATCATGCATGCTTATTAGACAAAAAAGACACCAGCAATCCTAACATCATGTAAAACAATTACAGGTTTCTGTTTTACGCTCACTTAGCAGGACGGTAGTACCTCCCTGAGTGGTTGCTGTCTACCAACCTACTACCTACATAACATTTTGCAATGTCAAAAGGGAATGGGTCTATATCTAATGGATCACAACTTAATCCTTGGTATACAGCAGAATTATTAGCAAAGATACTTGTTTTTTAATACCCAGTGTTAACTACCTATTCACACATTAATTCTTTCCTCAACTTGTATTAAGACTAAAGAGCAAGTGGTATATAAATGGATTTTAATACAGTGGAACCTCTACTTGCGAGCGCATCAACGTGCGAGTTTTTCCAAATACGAGCAGTCGATGGGTTGATTTTTTCCTTCCATACGCTAGCAAAATTTCCATAAGCGAACAGACTCAAGTGAGGTTCCTTGACGCTGGTGAGGGGCTCTTGCTCTTGATCTAGGGAATTGTATCTCATTTGTTTGTTGGACTATCTTATTGAAACTTGGGCAATGTATGATGGAAAGATGCTTCTTAATGTGCACCAAAAATGAAAGAAATCGGAGCATAAACAATGGAGCTCACTTCTCAGCAATTAGCCACCCCTTAGTGGTATTTTCGTATAGTTTCTATGGTTGTATTCTCGTTTTTTTGGTCTCATTTGATAGAATGGAAGATATATTACAGAAATAGATGTGATTTTGATTACTTTCATGACGAAAAGTACCTTGAAATTGAGCTCAACGAGGGAGAAATGCTCATTTGCTTGACTAAGTTCAAGAGTAAACTAATGATGTCACTGTCCATTCCAATATGCAGTCGTGAATGGGTTGACATTATTTATACAATTATTGCAATAAGGCATAACAGTAAATCTTATATTTTTTGTGTGAATAAAAATTGCAAATTATTTATATTGTTATAATAATAATAATAATAATAATAATAATAATAAAAATAATAATAATACACGTAGTATAATAATATAATACAATAATAACAATAATAATAATAATACATATAATAATAATACACACATATATAATAATAATGTACTAGATGTCACTAGATGGCAGTGTTTACCACAACAAAGAGGGAGCAGTTGTGGCCACCTCCACCTGTTACATAATGACATATTTTATTCATTCTAGAGTATAAAATTTATAATGTTTATTATTTCATATTAGATGAACTGTGATAGATAAATAAGCCGTAGAGTTGATGATAGCGAAATATTCAAGGAGTATTTTGTCCTGTCTCCAGACAAACTTGTTGGCTGCCGCTGCCGCCACACATATGACATTTTATTACTTCTAGAGTACAGTGGAACCTCAAAAATCGAACGTATCACATATCAAACGTTTCGAAAATAGGACCATTTTTTCGGACAAACTGTGTCCCTATTATCAAACATGCCCCTATTTTCGGACCACCGGGTACGGGACCTGTCTGCCGGCCCGCTCTGTCCGCGTCCCCGCGCAGGCGACGTGAGCAGTCTAGCTTTGTTTATGCTTGAGTGAACACTAACCTGCGCTCTCATTCACACATTTTAAGATTATTTCGTTGTGTTTAGTGCTTGTGGGACTGTGAAATAAGCTGCCATGGGCCCAAAGAAACTTGCTAGTGGTACCCCTGTGGTAAAGAAAGTGAGAAACACCATAGATGTGAAGAAGGAAATAATACAGAAGTATGAGAGTGGTGTGAGACTTGTTGAGCTTGCCAGGATGTATGGGAAAAACAAGTCGACCATCGGTTCTATCCTGTCAAAGAAAGAACAAATCAAGGAAGCTGATGTTGTGAAAGGTGTTAATATGCTAACCAAATAAAGACCACAAATAGTTGAAGAGGTTGAAAAGTTGTTGCTGGTGTGGATCAAGGATAAAGAGATTGCAGGTGATAGTGTTTCAGAAACGATTATTTGCGAAAAGGCAAGGAAGTTGCATGCCGATCTGGTACAGAAAACTCCTGGAACCAGTGCCGATAGTGAATTTAAGGCCAGCAGAGGCTGGTTTGACAGATTTAAGAAGCATAGTGGCATACACAATGTTGTAAGACATGGTGAGGCAGCCAGTTCAGACAAACGGGTGGCTGAGAAGTTTGTACAGGATTTTAAGGGGTACATAGACAGTGAAGAATTGAAACCTGAACAAGTGTTTAGTTGTGATGAAACAGGCTTGTTCTGGAAGAAAATGCCAAAAAGGATCTTCATCACACAGGAGGAAAAGGCACTGCCAGAACACAAGCCTATGAAAGACAGGCTTACTCTTTTGTTCTGTGCTAATGCTAGTGGCGATTTTAAAGTGAAGCCTTTACTTGTGTATCATTCAGAAAATCCCAGAGTGTTTAAGAAAAACAATGTCTTTAAGAACAAGTTATGTGTCTTGTGGAAAGCTAATCATAAGGTTATGTGTCTTGTGGAAAGCTAATCATAAGGCATGGGTCACAAGACAAATTTTCAAAGAGTGGGTCCATGAAGTGTTTGGCCCCAGTGTGAAAAAATACCTCCAGGAAACGAAATTGTCACTCAAGTGCCTCCTGTTAATGGATAATGCTCCTGCTCATCCTCTAAACTTATTAGACCTCTTGTCTAAGGACTTCAATTTTATAAAAGTGAAGTTCTTGCGTCCTAACACCACTCCTCTCCTCCAGCCCATGGACCAGCAGGTCATTTCTAACTTCAAAAAGTTCTACACAAAAGCAGTGTTTGAAAAGTGCTTTGAAGTGACCACAGACACTAAGTTGACCCTAAGAGAGTTCTGGAGGAATCACTTCAACATCTACAGTTCCATAAGCCTTATAGGTAAGGCTTGGGAGGGAGTGACTTCCAGAACTTTGAACTGCTTGGAGACAATTATGGCCAGATTGTGTCCAAAAGAGGGATTTTGAAGGGTTTGAGGCTGACCCTGACCCTGACCCAGCTCACCCTCTGCCTGTTGTGGACTCTATTGTGGCATTGGGGAACACCCTGGGGTTGGAGGTGAGTGGTGAGGATGTGGAAGAGTTGGTGGAGGACCACAGGGAAGAGCTAACCACTGAAGAGCTGCAAGAGCTTCATCTGGAGCAGTATCAGACCACAGCTGAGGAACTTGCTTCAGAGGAGGAGGAAGAGGGAGTGGATGAGGTGCCTTCTTCAAATATTAAGGAGATTTGTGCCAAGTGGAATGATGTCCAAATGTTTGTGGAGAAGTACCACCCTGAGCAAGCTGAAACAAGCCATCTTTGCAACAAGTTCAGTGACAGAACCATGTCCCATTTTAGGGAAATGTTAAAGAGGCGCCAGAAACAGAGGACTGTAGACAGTTATTTTGTGAGACAGGGGTCCACTGACTCTCAAGCTGGTCCTAGTGGCATTAAAAGACAGAGAAGGGAAGTAACCCCAGAGAGGGCTTTACCTGAAGTCCTCATGGAGGGGGATTCTCCTTCCAAACTCTAACCCCAACTCCCTCTCTCCTCCTCCCTATCTTCCAGATGCCATCACCAATCTTCAATAAAGGTAAGTAAAAATTTTATTTTATATGTATTACTATACATAATACTATAGTATTTGTTGTATGTAAAACTGTAATTAATCTCTATAAAATGTATTTTTTGTGTGAATATTTTTGGGTTTCTGGAACGGATTAATTGTATTTCCATTATTTCTTATGGGAAATATTGCTTCGAATTTCAGACTTTTCGAATTTAGAACCAGCTCCTGGAACGGATTAAGTTCGATTTTTGAGGTTCCACTGTATATATCAAGTTTCTATGTTATTTATATTGTTTGTTATGTCATATTAGATGAACTATGATAGATAAATAAGCCGTAGAGTTGATGATAGCGAAATATTCAAGGAGTATTTTGTCCTGTCTCCAGACAAACTCTCGTTGGCCGCCGCCACATATATAATGACATATTTTATTCATTCTAGAGTATATATCAGGTTTCTATGTTACTTATATTGTTTGTTATGTCATATCAGATGAACTGTGATAGATAAATAAGCCGTAGAGTTGATGATAGCAAAATATTCAAGGAGTATTTTGTTGTCTCCAAACACTTGTTGGCGGCTGCTGCCGCCACATATATAATGACATATTTTATTCATTCTAGAGGATATATCAGGTTTCTATGTTATTTATATTGTTTGTTATGTCATATTAGATAAACTGTGATAGATAAATAAGCCGTATAGATGATATTAGCGAAATTACTCAAGAAGTATTTTGTCCGGTCTCCAGACAAACTGTTGTCCACCGCCGACACCGCCCACACCACTACATGAATTACATATTTTATTCATTTCAGAGTATATATCAGGTTTCTATGTTATTTATATTGTTTATTATGTCATATTAGATCAATTGAGATAGATAAATAAGCTGTAAAGGTGATATTAGAGAAATTATTGAAGTAAAGAATTCCACTGGAATGGATTAATTGCATTTCAATTAATTTAAATGAGAAAAATTTACTCTGCAAACGAGCAAATCCAGTTGCAAGAAAGGTCATGGAACGGATTAAACTCGCAAGCAGAGGTTCCACTGTCTTGACAGAGCTCTTGTATTCACACAACCTGTAACTTACCCAGGGATAGTTTGAGCCTGGATTTTCTCAACTGTTTCTTCCTTATTGGTGTATCCTTTAAACATGGCATAATCCTTGGAAACAAAGAGTACATCAGGCAAGGGAATGAGTGACTCAAGCTCATGTTTTGCATTTTCTATCTCAACGGAAATAGTGATAGAGCTTCCATCCTGGTGGCTTTTATTGTACTCTCTTATATGTTCAATCATTTTTGTAATATTTGTAACATTTCGTCCCTGAAAAGGTAATCTTGCATGAAAATTTATACAGAGTACAATTCTTTACAAATGCAAAACTAATTTAAGATGCTTGCTTTCCATTCTAGTTTTCTATTTAACAACACAGTCAAGTTTTACTGTAAGACAATTTTTTTTTTATTTTTTTATTAACACATTGGCTGTTTTCCACCAAGGCAGAGTGACCCAAAAAAGAATCATCATCATCATCATCATTCACTCCATTAGGCATGCCTACACTACAGTTATTAAACTGCAACATATCAACACCCCTCCTTCAGAGTGTAGGCACTGTATTTCCCACCTCCAGGACTCAAGTCTGGCCTGCCAGTTTCCCTAAATCCCTTCATAAATGTTACCTTGCTCATACTCCAAAAGCATGTCAAGTCATAAAAACCATTCGTCTCCACTCGGTCCTAACATGCTCATGCATGATTGCTGGAAGTCCAAGCCTCTCACACACAAAACCTCCTTTACCCTTCCCTCCAACCTTTCCTAGGCTGACCCCTGCCCGCCTTCCCTCCACTACAGATTTATATGCTCTCCAAGTCATTCTATTTTGTTCCATCCTCTAAATGTCCAAACCACCTCAACAACCCATCCTCAGCCCTCTGGATATTACCTTTAGTAACCCCGCACCCCCTCCTAATTTCCAAACTACAGATTCTACGCGGCACATCATATCAGTTATTATTTTTTAAAGCTCTACCTTTTCTTATCACTTTAACATCCATTTCTCTTAAGAGCCCTCTCAATAAACACATTAACCCTTTGACTGTCGCAGGCCCCTTTCTGAAACTATCATTCTATGTCGATAAATTTCTGGAAAAAAAAAATTCTTATGAAATGATAGAGAATCTTTTCCCGATGGTAATGACACCAAAAGTATGGAATTACGCTTCCGCAAAGTTAGTGGTCTCGGCGACATATATGCATCGGCGATTTCGCCAACTTTGAGCCCTGTTTTTGGCCAATCCCATCATTCCAGTTGACCAAACTCATAGCTATTTCTTTAGAACTCCATTTTCTCTGTCAGTTGAGTACAAGAAACTGCCCATTTACTGATCTGAACTACCCAATAAAGTGGTCAGAAATTGGCAATTTGGCCAATTTCACGCAAATTAAAAAAGATGCCAATTTCAAAATAGGGCCCAGAATAAACAATGTAGACATTCTTGGCACTAAAATAACATATCCTCTGTTCATTAGTCACGTCTCTAGGCCCCTCCTATATTACTACTGCTTTCTATTTTGATTTTTTATTCATACAAAAAAAATACAAAATTTACTGTTATGCAGACTAATGCATTATTGTAAAAATGGTATAAATAATATCAGTGCACTAGTGAGAGAATATTAGACTCCCCAGTTGAAGTGTATTGGACGTGTGGTGTGATTTGCTTACTCCTGAACACTGGTAAAAATCGAGCACTTCTGCTACTTTGAGCTCAATTTCAAGGTCGTTTTCATCATGAAAGTAATCAAAATCATCTCTATTTCTGTAATATGTTTTCCATTTTATCACCTGAGACTATGAAAATGAGAATACAACGATAAATACTATACGAAAATACACCTCAAATTCGGCGTTTTAATCCAAAAAAAAAACGATCAGTTTTTTTTTCCTCATTATGCACTGCGTGCTCCAGGATTTTTTTATGTCATGCACACTGACCATACAGACCCATTCTCTAACATGTGGGCCTACCAGCTTTCTCCCGCTTGATTTGAAGCCGCTAGAATTTACGCGTATAAATACGTCAAACATTGGCATGCAAGACGTATATATATGACCGAAACAGTCAAAGGGCTAAACAACTTGTAAAAGTGCAGTAAAAGTCTGTTAATACCAATAGATTGTGGGAATAAGACACACACATGCACAATCAAGACATTTACTGAAGATGCTTTGCCACTGGTGGCTTTATCAATCCTGTCAATAAGATTGATAAAGCCAACAGTGGTGGTGATATGTCTACATCAATAAAAGTTTTGACTGTGCATACGTCTTATTCTCATATATTAAACACCTGTTACATCATAGTTCACTAAAACTTGCTTTTCCGAAAAGCCTCACTCTTCTAATATTTGCATTTATAAAGTGAGTGCAGAACCCATAGAGGTCATCAGTATCTGGAGGGAATGAGAGGCACTTAGGTTCATTCCAAGAAAAGGGAATTCAGGTCCAATTCCTTGAATCAAGAATCCCCTTACCAGCATCAAGGAACCTCAATTGAGAGGACTCTTTTAGTAAAATAACTCCTTGCAGTTTGCAACAACGTACCACCCATTTCATACATTTGCAGCCCGTTAAAAGCCTCCTTCAAATCTACAAATGCAACAAACAAAACTTTTCTCTTACCTAAGTACAGTAAAAATCTTGTCAACGGACCTCTTATTAATGGATTTCGGCAAGTTTGTGCAAAAAACATTGGCCAGACAAACAGAAGTATAAGACAAAATGGACAAAAGTCCACAATTCCATTTTCTGTCTCTAGTGATAATGTCTAGTTGCTTTCTGAAGAATCAGATCAAGCCCAAATGGCTCCAACAGAGCCAGAGCTGCCATGTCCAGGACATATCTGTTTTCATTGTTCCCTGAACGATAGGCCACTCATGCCAGTTAATTGTTTGTACTCACTCATGCACACACTCTAATTTTGCCTGGATTTAGAGCATTTTATGTGAATATTAACATATTAAGTAAAGTGCACTTAACAATGGCTTTACATAAATAAGCCACACACAGGAGACAAACTTATGACAACGTTTTGATTTGACTTGGACCATTAACTAGTCACACACAAGCATGAAGGGAAGGGAGCCAGAATATACATGAGAAGGGAAGCAGGAACGAACTGAAGTAGCGTATTGAGAGAAAGGAATTTGTATTAAAGTCGTTGTAGTGGAGGAAGTGGTAGTAGAAAAAGTAGTACAACAGTGGTAGAGGTGGCAATAAGGTAGTAATGGTGGTGAAAAAAGGAAAAGAGGATGGAGACTTAGCAAAGAGATAGTAGTTATAGTAGTATGCAGTAGCAGAATTAACCCTTTCAGGGTTTCGGACATACTAGTATGGTTTACGCACCAGGGTTTTTGACGTACTAGTACGCCTAAAGTCTAGCGCCCTCAAATCTAGTGAGAGAAAGCTGGAAGGCCTACATATGACAGAATGGGTCTATGTGGTCAGTGTGCGCAGTATAAAAAAAATCTTGCAGCACACAGTGCATAATGAGAAAAAAAAAACTTTGACCGTGTTTTTGGATTAAAACAGCGGCTTTGCACTGTATTTTCATATGGTATTTAATGTTGTATTCTAGTTTTCCTGGCCTCATTTTATAGAATGGAAGACATATTACAGAAATTGAGACGATTTTTGACTGGTTTTACAATGAAAAGTACCTTGAAACTGAGCTCAAATTAGCAGAAATTTTCGATTTTTACCAAAGTTAAAAAGTAAACAAATCATGCTAAGCGTCCAATACACGTCAACTGGTGAGTCTAATATTCTTTCACAAGTGCGCTGATATTATTTATACCATTTCTACACTAATGCACTAGTCTGCATAACAGTAAATCTTCTATTTTTTGTGAGAATAAAAATTCAAAGTGGAAAGTAAAAGAATGTAAGAGGGGCATGGGAACATGACTAATGAACAGAGGAAATGTTATTTTAGTGCCAGACATTAATAAAGTACTGAGGGTGTCGAACCAGGTAAGAACCAGGAATAATGGATTTAAGTTGGATAAATTTAGATTTAGAAAGGACATAGGTAAGTACTGGTTTTCTAACAGAGTTGTAGATGCGTGGAACAGTCTTCCCAGTGGGGTGATAGAGGCTAGGACCTTGGGTAGCTTTAAGAAGAGACTGGACAAATATATGAGTGGGAGGGGCTGGGTTTGATTGGTGTCAAGGGGTACGGGAGTTATTTCTTGAGTAGCTTTAGGTAGATGTCGTTTTGATAAGGACCTGCCTCGTATGGGCCAGTAGGCCTTCTGCAGTGTTCCTACATTCTTATGTTCTTACGAATGTATTTCTTGTTTATTCTTGATCCTATTTGGAAATTGGCATCTTTTGAAATTTGTGTGAAATTGGCAAAATTGCTAAATTCTGACCACTGTATTGGATAGTTGAAATTGGTAAATGGGTGGTTTATTGTACTCATTCGATACAAAAAATGGAGTTCTAGCGAAATAGCTATGATTTTTGTCGACTAGTACACTGGAATTGGCCGAAAATAGGGCTCAAAGTGGGCAAAATTGCCGATGAGTAAACATCGTCGAGACCTCTAACTTCGCGAGAGCATAATTCCATAAGTTTTCCATCAAATTTCATACTTTTGGTGTCATTATGATCGGGAAAAGATTCTCTATCTTTTCATAAGAAAAAAATATTTATAACCCCATAGACAAAAGACAAGAAAATATAGGAAAAGGGAAGAGGAGATAAAGATCAGGTCAAGTCATCAGTGTTCTGAAGTTTGGAGCATTTGATAATGTAATGAAAAAGGAAGGCATTTACAGAGACAAAGCCAGGACTGATTCACATTAGTTAAATTTTGTATAAGGGATGCTTGAACAAAATGGCATCTGTGAAGGCAAGAGGGTAGACAGTTCTAGTAGAGGACCAGTCAACCCTTTCAGGGTCAGTCCCATTGTATCACAGCTTTGAAGCCAGTCTTGGTCCCGTAGTACACCACCATGAGCTCAGCTCACTCAGATAAGCTATGGGCGGTAAATTTGGGCTTAGATATGAGGGAATGGGTCTATGCAGTAAGTGTGTACCATACAAAAAAAAATCTTGCAGCACACAGTGCATAATGAGAAAAATAACTGTGACCGTATTTTTGGTTTAAAACAGTGACTTTGTGGTGTATTTTCATATGGTTATATTCTCGGTTTCTTGGTCTCACTTGACAGAGTAGAAGATATATTACAGAAATAGAGATGATTTTGATTGGTTTCAGGAGTGAAAGTAGCTTGAAATAGAGCTCAAAGTAGCAGAAATGTTCAATTTTTGCAGATATTCCAGAGTACACAAATGATGTTAATTGTCCAATATGCGTCCAACTGGCCAGTCTAATGGGCATTCAGGAATGCACTGACATTATTTATACATTATTGATAGGGTTAATAGGATGACCGTGATCTCTAACATGACAGAAAAGAGAATTAGTGTAAGCAAGACTAACACTTCTTTTTTGTTCTTTAAGTCTTTTAGGACGAGAGTGGCCAGGTTCACCAAACTCTCTACTTGAGAGAAATCTGTTCTTTGCCTTCCTTATAATTCCAGTCTCCCTAATTTTAACAATACACTCAGTTGCTTAGACCTGAAACTTACTTTTTGATAAAATAATACTCTCTGTAGTAATCTACGTAGTACCTCTCCTACAAGGACCCCAATGGAAATCAAAGGACCCCAATGGAAATCACAAGAACCCAATGGAAATATGTCACTGACTTTTTTGGGTTATCCTAGGTTCTCTACACATATGCTGCTATGTATGATAATCTATATACAGTGGAACTTCAGTATATGACCAGCTCCCTACTTGAACAAAGCTCTGCACTTGACCAAACAAATACGACCTGTCAGAACTTTGCTGTACACTATTTCGTGTTTCTTCACATTTTTTGATGTTTTTTGTATTATTTGTATAAATAAGTCACCATGGGGCCTACGAAGATTAGCAATAACAGCCAACCAAACAGAAAATTGGCTGGGAAGAACTTTTTCGATACTCAAACGGAGCGGCACCTGAACAGCCTTCTGGAATGAATTAAGGTTGCATACCGAGGTTCCACTGTAACTGTATTTGTGTATGCCTGAATAAACTTACTACTGATGCTTCTGGAGTCTACTCCATTTCCTGCTCCTCTTGTCCTATCCAATAGTTAGGAGACACTGATCACACTTTTTCTGACAGACTTGTAAAACCCTTTCAAATGGTAACTTTTTCTCCCTTACCACTCGCTGTACTTCATTATTCCATCAATTGCTCCTCTTCCATCCTGCACCCACCCTATATTCACAAACTTCTCCTGCATACTAACACCGCATTTTCAACCTACCCCATATCCCTTCAACCTCATTACTTGTGCTCTCACTAGCCCACCATTCACTCAGTCGTTACTTATATCTTACGCTAACTACCTTAAGGGATACTTAAGGGATAGCATTAAACCTATGGGGGCAATACAGAGCCTGGGAATGGGAGACGATTAGTAGGTTTGACTCAAGGAAGGGAAGGACAAGTCCAATTTTTTTGAATCAAGAGCCCTTTGAGAGATTGGAGGAGAGGGGGGAATTAAATTATTATATGATTAGAGACATATCCAATCCTCAAAATGTAAAATTACGAGTTTCTTTATAAAGTAAAAATATAATTACAGTGAAACCTTGGTATATGACCCGCTCCCCACTTGAACAAAGCTCAGCACTCAACCAAACAAATACGACCTACCAGAACTTCGGTGTAAACTATTTCGTGTTTCTTCGCATTTTTTGGTGTTTTTTGTATTATTTGTATAAGTCACCATAGGGCCTAAGAAGATTAGTGATACCAGCCAACTAAACAGAAAATTGGTTGGGAAGAACTTGTTCGATACTCAAATGGAACGGCACCTGAACCGCCTTCTAGAATGAATTAAGGTCGCATACCGAGGTTCCACTGTATTGCATTACTTATAAACCACATGTAAAAAATAACCTCCAAGAACCTTAATAACTTTACCTCAAAATGAACCCATTGGAATGCTGATAAGTCAATCTTGTTAAAATCTTCCACAGAAAGCTCAGGAAGATTCTTATTGGAATGCACAATGGTGCGTGAGCCAGTTGCAGCACTGAGAATAATGCAGGATGCTGGGCTGTCACAACCTTCATGAATAACTGCATAATCTGTGTTTACATCAAACTTGGCAAAATCTTCAAGGAGGAATCTGGCAGAAGTTTAATGGTAATGGGTAAGTAAATATACAAATAATTTATGTAGAGCACTGTATACATACATACATGAAACAAACTGTAAACAAAATGTTTGAAATAAATCTATAAAAATATCATTGGGACAATGTGCAGACCTAATCGTATGCATCTGGATATGATTAGGTCTGAAAAAAATGAGTGAATCCAGTAAGAACTATTTGTATAATAAATGGATTGAGAAGGAATGTATGAATTTATAAGCCAATAAGACACAGTGTAATTAAGTGCCAAAGATATTTTAGTAAAACTTAGAATCTTAGACGAAACAATTTCAAAAGAGAAACTCCAGGCATTAGTCATTCACAGAAGTACTGTTAACGAAGGCAAGTAAAACAGGAACCTTAGCCTCAGCCAGGCTGCGAGGAGAGAAGAACACTCAAAATTGGTTACTGGTATACCACATGTATCCCCTTACCTGGTGATGTTTTCTTATTTGGCTATACTAACAATGCAACTTGGTGGTCTGCATCACTAACCTTCCAGTTATGACTGTTTTCCTAATCTCTTTCTTTTATCAAACAATTTAATTTATGAGTCTCAACATGGATTCACAAGGGAGCATTCTTAACAACTGTCAACATATCCTAACTGTTGGTGACCTCAACCAACACCTTATACAGAGGGACTTTGATGGCCTTCTTGCAGTATTTGACATGAGAAACTTTGTTGATTTCCCTACTCACATCTCTGGCTCCTCCCTTGACCCAGTAGTGAGTGATCTGGCAGAAGGTATAGCCACTTGTCAACCCCTCGGCTACATTGGATCATCTGACCACCCACAAGGCTGTTTTTAAGACACTTAAGATCCCAACAGAACGAGGTGAGGAGTCCACACACGCAACCTGGCTATGGGAAAGAGGTAATTGGCCAGCCCTTTGCTCTGAGCTCGCCACCACCGACTGGAATGCTCTTCTCCAAGGGGATGTTGACAACCAAGTGAAAGCCTTTACTGGACACATCCTTAATCTGCAACAAGAACATATTCCTCACCGGCAATATGTGGCGAAGCCTACAGATCAGCCTTGGTTTGGCTTTTGTTGTAGAGAGGCTGCGACTGCTAAGTACAAAGCATGGTGAAGGTATAAGAGACATCCTACCCCCTATAACAAGAACTTGCAGAGGCAAGCCTGTAGGCATATGGGTGACATTCAAAAGTGGGCCATTGCTAAATGGGAGGTGGACACAAAAAGAAAGCTAGCAACAGGTAGGGTAGGCTCCAAAACCTGGTGGTCCCTGGTCAAGGACAGACAAGGTTATCTGCCTGATGAACTCATTCCACCTCTAAATTGACAGGATGGGACCACCTCTACTAGTAGTCAAGAGCTACCAAAATGCAAGTTCCTGATCCAGCAAGGGACCCTCCTTGGCTAGCTGCAAGAACTGTGTCAAAACTGTCAGTGGTAACAATAAGGCAGGAGGAGGTGCATTTCCTTCTTAAATCACTTGACCAAGAAAAGGCTGTGGGCCCAGACAAGTTGAGCCCAAGATAGCTGAGAAGATGTGCAGACCAGCTAGCAGCATCTCTAACTCGTATCTTTCAGCACTGCCTAGTACAGTGTAAATGGCCCTCTCTGTGGAAAGAGGCAAATGTAGTCCCTGTTCACAAAAAGAAGAGCAGAGCAGGAATCAGCAACTACAGACCAGTGTCACTCCTGTCAATCACTGGTAAGATCCTTAAACAATAATCTCAAGACAAATGACAGAGTTTTTTGACTACCCCTCACTACTTTGTGACTGTCAATATGGCTTCAGGAAAGGTTACTCTGCTGCTGATCTGTTGTTAAACCTCTCCATTAAGTGGCACCAGTCACTGGATGAATCCAAAGTCAGCTGTTTGGCAGCTCTGGAGATTGCTGGTGCTTTCGACCGGGTGTGGCACCAGGGCCTCTTAGCAAAACTTCAAGCACTGGGAATTGCAGGCTCTACGCTATGTCTCCTCAGTGATTACTTTCATGGTAGATCTCTAAGTGTAGTTCTCAATGGAATGGAATCGGCAAGACATCCTATTGGGGCAAGTGTTCCACAAGGAAGCGTGCTGGGACCATTGTTATGGAATGTCTACTTCAATGACCTTCTTCATCTCATCCCAGAATCCCATGCATATGCAGACAACTGTACACTGACATTCACTTATCCAAGAGAAGAAATGCCAGCTGCTCTAAGCTACATCAATCACCAGCTAAGAGCTATATCAGCTTGGGGAAATAGATGGCAAGTAACATTTGCACCTGAGAAAATGCAAATGATGATGGTCTCTAGGCACCATGACGGTAATGCTGGTGCAGTAGTAAGGATGAATGGGAGGGTGTTGGCACCAGAAGAAGTTGATATCCTTGGGGTGAAATTTGACTCCAAACTGACCATGAAGAACCATGTTGTAAATCTTGCAAACAAGGCAGCCCGGAAGCTTACAGCACTTTGCCGTATCTCGCATCTGCTTCAAAAATTCAAATTCAAATTCTTCAAAATTTATTCTCTATAAGGATTACAATGCTGAGTTTACAGAATTTGGTTATTGTGTGGTTTACATGTAGTAAAATAATAATTACAGAGTGTACCACTAGAACACCTAGCATGGCTAGGCATTTCGGGCAGACTTAAATTAAAGCTTAAGTTTAAAATATTACAAAGTTATGAGGTTAGTTGGTATTATGGCTAAGTGACTAAATATTAGTTTGTGAGTTTAACAATGTGAATGCTTTTGTTTTGGCACTATACTTAGTTTCAGTATTGGAGTATCACAGGCCAACTTATGACTAGTTAAGATTCATTATTTTGAGATTGAGATTGATATTTCTGTTTATGGTCAAATGGGTGAGTGAGTGTAAGTGTTAACCACCAGGTGGTATTCGTGTAATTAGTTGACAGGGTGTATCAGGGAGATAAGATGTTTTCTGATGGTAGTTTTGAAGGTGATGAATGTGTCTGCAGTTTTAGAATTTTCAGGTAGGGTGTTCCAGATTTAGGGCCTTTGACATACATTGAATATTTGTAAAAGTTAGTCGGACACGGGGAATGTCATAGAGATGTTTGTGTCTGGTGTTGTGCCGTGGGTTCTGTCGGAACTATCAAGAAGGTTTTAGGTCAAGGTTAATATTGGAATTTAAGGTCCTGTAGATGTAGATTGCACAGTAGTAAAGTGTGGATGTACTGAACAGGAGTAAGTTTAGATCTATGAAGAGTGGGGGGGAGTGTTGCCAAGGATGGGATTTAGTGATTATTCTATACTGCGGCATTTTGTTGGGTTATTATTGGCTTTAGTGTGTTGCAGCAGTTGAACCCCAAGCACAGATAGCATAGGTAAGGTATGGATATATATAAGTGAATGGTATAGTGTGAGAAGGGCAGTTTTGCGGCACGTAGTATGTACTGGAGAGGATCCCAACCGTTTTGGATACTTTTTTGGTTATGTGTTGGATATGGGTGCTGAAGTTCAGGTTGTTGTCGAGGTATAGGCCTAGGAATTTGCCCTCATTATGCCTGGCAATTAGAGTGTTGTCGATCTTAATGTTAATTTGCGCATCTCCTGCTCTGCTACCAAACATAATGTAGTAGGTTTTGTCAGTGTTAAGCGTAAATTTTATTGGCTGTCATCCAAGTCGATATTTGATCAGCTACCTCATTAACAATGGTGTTGAGGGTGGCAAGATTAGGGTGAGAGATGACGTAAGTCGTGTCGTCAGCAAAGAGAATGGGGTTCAGGTGTTGAGATACGTTTGGAAGATCATTGATGTATATGAGGAAGAGCAGGGGACCAAGGACACTTCCCTGCAGAACTCCAGTATCAAGTGGCTGTGTTGTTGATGCTGTGTCTTTAATGGTGACATACTGATACCTATTAGTAAGGTAAGATTTGAAATATGCAAGCGCATGGCCTCTTATACCATAATGGTCAAGTTTGTGGAGTAGGATGCCGTGGTCTACTGCATCAAAAGCTTTTCTTAGGTCAATAAAAATTCCTAGTGGATATTCCTTATTTTCCAATGCTGTGTTAAGCAGATCTAGCATTTTTATGATTGCATCGTTAGTGCTTTTATTTTTCCTGAATCCAAATTGGCAGGGGTTGAGTATGTTTTGTGCCGTTATAAATAAATATAGTCTCCTGTGCACGAGTTTCTCAAAGATTTTGGATAGCAATGGTAAGTTTGATATTGGCCTATAGTTGTTTAAATTGTAGGTAGTAGGTTGGTAGACAGCAACCGCCCAGGGAGGTACTACCGTCCTGCCAAGTGAGTGTAAAACGAAAGCCTGTAATTGTTTTACATGATGGTAGGATTGCTGGTGTCTTTTGTCTGTCTCATAAATATGCAAGATTACAGGTAAGTCTTGCTACTTCTACTTACACTTAGGTCACACTACACATACATGTACAAGCATATATATACACACCCCTCTGGGTTTTCTTCTATTTTCTTTCTAATTCTTGTTCTTGTTTATTTCCTCTTATCTCCATGGGGAAGTGGAACAGAATTCTTCCTCTATAAGCCATGTGTGTCGTAAGAGGCGACTAAAATGCCGGGAGCAAGGGGCTAGTAACCCCTTCTCCTGTATATTACTAAATTTAAAAGGAGAAACTTCAGTTTTTTCTTTTGGGCCACCCCACCTCAGTGGGATACGGCTGGTACGTTGAAAGAAAGAAAGAAGTTGTTTAAATCTGTAGGGTCACCACCTTTATGTATTGGTGTAACCCTTGCCGTCTTGAGTAGTTTCGGGAAGGTGCTAGTTTCTAGTGACTTGTTAAAAAGTAGTGAGATAGCATGCAAGAGGACATGGGCTGCTCTCTTGTACAATAATGGTGGGACATGAGACAGATTCCCTGAGTTATTTTTAAGTGACTTTATAATCTCGGTGACTTCCATGGGCTCAGTTGGAGCAAGATAGAAGGAATTTGGGAAATTCCCATCTAGGTAGTCCCCGGCATGGGCATTGGTGTGTGGGATTTTATTGGCGAGAT